TAATCCATTAAAAAACTGCCTAGGTGTGAAAGCCACGCCTAGGGTAAAGACACAAATTGTAGTAAAAATGGTGCAAAAACAAAAGAAACAGCAATCTAGCCGATTAACACTACAACAATCGCAATGTATTTTTTTTGTCTCTCTCCTTCACCAGCACATTCCTGCCTGGTCGTCGTCTTTCCTCTGATTTCACATGTGCAGCTCTCCTTTTACTGGATGCTATTTTTCTTTTCATGCCGTTATCATACACAACGACAACCAGACGCAGACAGAGACACACAGACACGCTTGCAAGACCACCTAGTCAAGCGATTACAGTTGACCTGTGAACCCTGTAGAAGCGGCGGCGTCGCTGAAAACCAATGAGGTAGAAGTAGAAGCGGGGCCGAAACAACACCATGTTGGGTCACAGGCCTCAGGGCAACCGTCTCCTCTCAACTTTATACAGAGCATTGCTCTCGCATAAACGCACACATAACACAAGCACGCGGGATAGGAGATATTTACTGACATACAAAGGAACACTGAAAGTAGTGTGTGTCACAGTGCAGGAGAGGGAAGAACACAGAGCAACATGCACAGGGAGTTTACTCTACAAAGACAACATTAAAAGGCCTAAATTAGTTTCTACCCTCTGTGCTCACCTCTCAGTTATAAAACTCTGTGTGTGTGCACGTGCATCTATGTATCTAAGGCACAAAGACTTTGATCAGTCATTTTGTTTCATGTGCTCGATGTCTTATCTTCAATCATAAAACATGCGCACAGACACTTTGTTTGACAGCTCACCTCTCCTTCTCCCCGTGCTCTGTAATAAAACTACAATCTGCTGAAAAAGGCTGAGAAACTGTGGCTGCAGAAAGTAAACATGAAATTCGTTTTCTCTTTTTTATATTATTTTTATTCTTTATTCATCATTTATAGTTTTCTTTTAATGATTATTATTCATTATTGCAGTGGAACCGGTCAATATTTCATAACTGTACCTTAAAATGACATAAATGGTTATTGTTAATATAGAATTTTCTGCTGATGAACTCATCAATTAATCAACTAATCTCACGACTCTAGATTGGGCGGAATATGCCTTTTTAATAACGGATATTTAGATTTGTAGAAAAAGCACAGGCGTTACTAATAACATTAACAATGTCAACAATCCCAGTAAGCAATGAAAGCGAGCCAGCATGCCCTGAAACTGAAATGGCTAAATACAAATCAGCCACTACTGTGACATCAAAATGTCTTATTTTCATTATTGCCTCGTGTGTCTTCTATATTTCGTCATAATGCCTTTCTGTCTCCGATTGCCTTCTTGATGAAAGGTGCAATACAAATAAATTTGCCTCTCCTGGTCTTGTTTTTCTTGTAAATAAAAGCCCTGCTATGAACAAAGAAAAGTGGGGCAGTGACAAACCGCCAACCTTCCCTACACAGCCTGAATACAATGTGTAAACATTTCATGACATCAGTGAACCAGGAGAACTTCACCGTCAGATAAGTTACCGTTTGTCTTGACCTATTAGTTTAAAAGTCCCAGTCTCAACAGAACTTCACACAAACTCATGAATGTATTTCCATGAAATTTGGCACTAAGGTCAATAAACTACTGATAGTGTATTATGGTGATCTAGCTGTCGCAGCTCCCTAACTCCACAGGAGAAAACAGGACGAAAAAGGGGATTTTAATCGATAAAGCCAGAGTGTAGAATGGCAAACGACCCACTGAGGGCCGGTCTGCCATTTGCTTCTGCATGTTTCAGTGACATGTTTGATTTAGCTCAGACGAACCATCCGGAGGCCATGAACTTCCCAAAGCAACACACTGCTTTGGAAGAATAAGTTTGTTTGGTGTATATGTACACACACACACACAAAGAAAAAGACACACGCAAACAAGCACAAATTTGTGCGTGCAAACACACACTTCCAGACTCACACCGACTGAAACTGACCAGGTGCCAGTGTCAACCTATGATACCATTAGACCAGTTCAAGGTCTGAACCTTGAGTCTGCCGATGCATACAACATGCTGAACTATACCGAGCTGTGAGAGTATATTTTAATGAGAGTAAAATGTGGGAAAAACTGCACGAAAAACAACAAAGTGAAAAGTGAAAACGGCCATCTCCTGAGACAACCACAGATAGACAGGGAAGAAATCCTTTGGGCAGATGTGGGAGAAGCTTACTAGTCCTAATGTGCTTGAATGAAAAGCCCTTTTAAAAACACACTCACACACACACACACACACACACACACACACACACGGAGAAGATAAGGGAAGTGTAGGCGAGAGTAGATGCTGACAATCACTGGGGTGGCCAAAGAGTGACTGTCTATGAATTCGACAGGCACACACACTGTTTTAAAATGAAAGTACAACACTATACACTGTATTTGTGTACTTTTCAGAGTTTTGCACAGTTTAAACTTAATCTAAGATCATAAAAATATTGCTTATTTAGCCTAGTATTCTAAATCCTCACTGCATACCTGCATCAACAGGGGTATGACTCATGCCTTCATTTTTCATTAAATACACACAGCAGATGAGTGCGATTTGGCAGTCAATAGTCTTGACAAAGTCTACGTTTCATGTACTCCACTTCGGTGAGACATTGACTACCGCAGCGTCAATCCATTACATGTATCACTTAGATTCAGTGCACTTCTGATACAACTACTGACAAACTACCAACTCGCTGCATTCATGGTCAAACAAAGCTGAGTTTGCTTAGGTGTTGTTGTTTAAAGGAAAGCGTGGTGATGGGTATTTAGGGACTAACAGAAAGAGGATGGTTGAAAGCACGCTATATGCGGCAGATCTCTCGGGCCTGCTGGGGGGGTCTAAAGCAAAGCCTTGATGAAAGACCAGCAGCAATAAAGCAACGTTACACAGCAGACCACACGTAAAGGCCTGGGTGACAGGTGAGAGACTGAGGCAATGAATGTGATAACACAGCGAGGATGAGGAAAAGCAGACGGAGAGAGGTGGAGGGGAAGGAGATGGAGAAAGAGGGGGGGGGGGACAAAAGACAGAAAGACGGAAGAGTCAACAGACAGATAGGAGCGATGATTCAATATGATAATTTATCGTCTTTCAATGGAAACATATTGTGATGAAATCTTATATGGAGATATCGTGATACACAGTTACGTCGTCTAACCTGATGATAACAACCAATAACTCAGTCCTCTTCATTTGTCAAGTATTTGATTCACAAAAGAGCGTATGAAACCATGTGGTTATTTCATATCGACTATTTAAAAACTAGTTTATAAAACTCAAAGCGTTGTGAGAAAAATCTCGGGAAAACGGCATGAATTCATGATGATCGCACTAACATCATGAACAACGACGAAAACGGATTTGATCATTGATTTCAAATATTCTCAGTCTCTCTATTTCCCACACAAAGCGGTAGTTATGTGATTCTGACAAGTCATCTAGTCAACAAGATTAGATTTTTCTCTACATCCATTTCTCAAAAGAAAACAAAAAACGATGTCAACCCCTCTTTGTCACTGCTAGAGAAGCAAACCGTTATGGAAACTGTGCGTCTCTGTTTCAGCAGGACACTAGATGCCGTTCTCCCCGTTTTCACTCCCTCAACAAAAGCTGCATGTCAATATCTCACTCCGTCACTGTTTGCCAGTCTGGAAATAGAGAGCGATGGCGCCATTTAGAGCCAAGTGTGAATACACTCTGACACAAGGCCCTGACAATAGAACAGACAGTCTCTATTCGGTGAGAGACCTAAGATTAGAAGGCCCACGAGGAATCCCCTGCTGGAGAGTTTAGGTCCATTGATGCTGCTCTCCAAAGAGTATTGAGACAGGCTGAGTTTGTGTGTGTAAATGGTGGGGTGGGGTGGGTGTGGTGGATGTTGAACAAGTTGCAGTCAAGTGAAATTTACTTCCATATCTTTGATGTACTGTAAGGTGTCCGCCTAGTCGCTCACCACTATTCACATCCTACAAGCGTTGGGCCAAACATGATGAACTCCTGTTTAATCCACTGAAATCCAGTACGATACCTGCGTCAGTACAGTAAAGCCGGTCAGCCCTCCTATTATCAGATGCAATCTCTCAGCTCAAACATTCTGGCCCACCACCACAACAAGCTTAATAACACAGTCAAGAGCTATAAACCCAACATTGCACTGAGTGTTAGCTCAGCTAAACACATTTTGTGTGATTAAAAACTGTATTTATTCCAAGAGAAGGCCTGATCTGTGCAGCAACATCATCAAATACAACAACCTTTAAGCCCCAGTGACGCGGACGTTAAAGCTCCTTCATCTTCTGTACGGTGAGTATTCTCCAGTGAAACGGAATATATAGCGTTGCACAGTTACAAGAGGGATTTAACATTCAGAAGCAGTTAACATGAAATCTCAAATGTTTCAGAAATGACTCAACCAATTAAAAGCCTATATTTTTTTAGCGGCCCAATCAAAAGAGAATCATTTGATTAAATGACAGCCAATTAAAAAACCCCACAGCATGTCTGTTCATGGTGCTCTAATCTCTTAATCCTGTCGCCCGATCTCCTGTTGGTACAGCGTTTCAACAGGACTAACTGGTCAGATCAAATATTTTAGTGTCGTCTAGGCACGCAGTGAACCCACTAAACCCTGATGACCAAGTGCTACGGTGAACATGTTCAGACAATGTAGGCATTCGATCTTTACCCTATAGTCCGAATATATTCAAATGCAATGCGCTCTTTCTATTATTCTTAATAGTACTGTTATTGGTATTATTACTACTATATATTTCTAGCTGTCGCTGCACTGGTCGGCGTTGTATCACGGCTGTGGCTCAGAAGTAGAGCGGTTTGTCCAGGATCTTTTAAAAAGGGAAAAAAAAATCATGAAAAACTCACTTTTTCGGTGGTTGGGCACAAACATTTGGGTATCAACAAGCCATTCAGATTTGGCTCGGCTTCCTTTGTCACATGCAAAAAGAAGTTGAGAGGTGAACAGCCACTTACCCTTCAGTTTCTCCACCACATTCTGTCCGGCTCTCTCTGCCACCTGCCCGTCCTCCCTCTGGTAATGGTCATCCAGGAATCGGGCAGTAGCTTCTGACAGGTGGACCTTGCCCGCCACGCCCAGCTGCTCCATCAAGTTAGCCAGATTGACATCATTTGACCATACATCAAACTTGAAGCGCTTTATTCCCAGGATCCCGCACAGGACGGTGCCCGTATGGACGCCAACGCGCATGCTGACGGTCTCGCGTGTCTCCTGGCAGAACTGCTCGATGGCCTGGATCATGCCCAAGCCCATCTCTACACAGCAGTTGGCGTGGTCCGGCCGAGGCTCGGGGCAGCCAGCTACACAGTAGTAGCAATCTCCCAGAGTGCTGATCTTCTCACAACAGGTTAGTTCACAGAGACGGTCGAAACGTCCAAACAGATCATTGAGGAGGCCCACCAAGGCTGATGCTGACTTATTGGCGGACATTCTAGTGAAACCCACAATATCCGCAAAGAGGATGCTGACAGGCTCCATGCGTTTCATATTGAAAGGCCGAAAGATTATCTGTCCACTGGGGATGGAGGTCTTCTTGCGTTTGTGATTGTTGTGCGGGTGACACTTGGCACTTGTGGCACTTTGGGCTTGTGAAGCTCCACCGCTTCCTCCGCCACCCATTGAGACGGCCGAGGCAGAGCAGGCGCCAGAGGAATAACGCTTGCCAGAGTTCTCACCGCCACCCTCATCGTCACCTTGTTTCATCAACTCATCGGCAACTCGCCGCGGCATGACAGAGTGGATCATACGCTCTTTCAAGGCCTTCTCCACCTCCAAGTCTTTGCCGTGCATGATGGCCTGGCCGACTTTAAGGAAGGTGCTGCGGGAACGCACCTCCGACATGATGAACAGGTGGATGCCGATGACATGGGCGCACAAGTGGAGCAGAGCTTTAGCCGGGCCTAGCCAGCGGAGGGTGTCTTCTTCCCAATTGGAACCTGAACCCTCTAACCCTGTGCCCCATCTAGTAGTGTCATAACTCTTTTGAAGCAATGGCAGCCATTCTAATGCCTCAAATAATATAGAATACAGGAGCCCCAGCATCACGGAGGCATACAGACGGACATGGAGGACGCTGTATAACAACAACAAAACCTCCATACACAGGGAGAAGGTGCCCACGGGGGAGATGCAAGGGGTTGGAGGCAGTGCTACTTGGTCCGGTGAGAGATATGAGGCATTCTCACCGCCAGCCCACTCAGTGTAGCCAGCAGTCTGCGTCTGTGGAGCTAAGGTAATGGCGAAGGTGAGCGCGATCAGGAGCAAGGAGGTTTGGTTGTACAGCCATGTGTAGGGCTGGGTTAAGGTGAACAAAAAGAGGAGCACCAGGAGGACAAAGAAGGAGGCTGTGGGTACGAGGAAGGTCACAGGGTCGCAGCGGTCACTATTGACCCCGAAGTACACCCCCCAGAGTACAGCTGCCACTGCCAGGTAGAACAGGACATAACGGAAGCGCCGCTGTGTCTGAGGAAAGCACCTCTCTTGGCACGCGTCTTCCAGGATTGGGGAGTCAAACTTGGGGTCCCAGCACTGAGCAGCAGAGCGTTCGAACAGTGGCGGTGCCTTCCTGGCCACCCTCGAAGTTGAGACCCCGGCAGGTTTCGAGTCTGCTGAGCTGCAGCTGGATGAGATACTGTATTTGTGGAGGTTAGGGTTCATTTTCCTCACGGCCCCGTAGCCTCCAACTCCTCCTCCTCCTCCTGCTCCACTGCTGGCAGTCCTCAGTGGCTCGTGGTGATGCACGTGTGGCGCGCTGTTGCTAATCCGCACGGTCACGGCGCCATCGCCGCTGGAGTCACAGCTCACTTCCGTGCCATGCATGAGGAGCTGCCGGTGATGTTGCTTAGTGGCCATATTGACTGGTGGGACGAGGAGACGAGGGTGTTGCGGGGAGAGGTGTTGAATATGAATAATATCTTCTGATGGCCCTCAGGCAATTAGACGCAGTGCGTGGGTACCATGTGGGCACATGGGGCACGGAGAGAAGGGGGGGGGGTTAAGAGAGTGACAGGCAGGCAGACAGAGAGGGAGAGAGAGAGCGCAAAGGTGTTTGTTGGAACGATCACAGTGCATGGATGGTGAGCACGGCACAGACGTCTTTGCTACGCACACAGCAGCCTGCACACTCACTCACACAAGACGCGCCGTTCCAGTTTCTTGAGCAGTTCATCCCCCGACCCCGGGTTTGCGTCACTACTCGCATTACATGTATCCTTCTCCAAAGAGGCTCTGGGTCTGAGCCCGGCTTTCTCTCCAGCTGCGGTTAAAACGCTGTCATCACTCTTTCTGCCTCCTGAATTGAACATCCTTCTCGGAAAGGACTGGTTAGTGATGCAACGTTTTTACACGACTGGAAATGACCTCCTCTGTGTCTGCGTGCCATATCTCGATACTGCTGACATTCCAAAGTCAGACAGCGTCAGGGAAAAATCCCAGATTTGTCTTTATTCCGAAATTACGTTGTTGCGTGGAAAAAACAGCATTCAGGTCCAGGGCTTCATTGGATGAGCTAATACAACTACAGGCTGTCAATAGTTGGCGTTGTGCTGCAAGTGGCTACAAAAAGTTACACTGTCCCTGTTACCTCCGCAACATGCGCGACTAATGGTCCTTTCACAACTTAAAGAGAAAAAAAAACACCGACACAATATTGTCGTTATGATCAGCTAATAGTGCGAAAGTAAACATATGTGGACAGTAGGAATTTTCCAGCATCAAGAATTAAATGCGTGTAAGAAAAAATATTTTCCCAAAAAAATAAACAGTCTTCACTTAAAAGGACTGTATTCTCGTTTCACATCAAGTCGTTTACTTTTAGCTGTGACTGTTTTGCATTTTCTTTTAAATAATGCCGATTTAAAACAGTTGATTACGTTGATTTTAAAAAAAAAGTTGTGTGATCTGTAAATAAGGCGGCTTTACCTTCCACTACACCCCTTCTCGTGGCTCAGTGTGCTAAGGATTTGCATTTCTTACTCCCATGCATTCTCCTTTCATCTCTATTCCAGTGGCCCATGAAATGTTTATTCGGGAGCCCTGTCCAGTCCAAGATCCAGATCATAAGAGGCCTGACAGGCAGGCCTATTCCCACGGATCCAGCCCCGTCCTTTCCTCAACTCCGACTCTGGATCTCCACCGTTTATTCCCCCTCTGTCTTCCAAAGAGGGGGTCGGGGTATGAGTTATTCAAAGACGCGTAATCCGAAAAGAGAAGCGCAGTAAAAAAAAATACCGTCCGCTGGCCCAAATGAGTGTAGGTTTGCCTGTGCTGGGAGTGTCTGCAACTTGTTGCGCGCAGTTGGCAAAATATACAGCTACGAGGAACAGCCTCGGACGGAACAGGCTGGTCTATAAATAGTGATGATCAAAACTCCTGCACTAACAACACCAACAGCGTGTGCTTTTCATCAGCGCAATCTGTGGAATAACAGACGCTCTTAATACAAAAAAAAACAAAACTAATGTAGTAGGCTACTTATACATCAACGCCGTAAAACGCGTGCAAAACGTCAGCGATAGGGCCCCTCTGGTTTCCAAAAAAACTCCCGAACTTTTTTCCCAGGCCGTATTTCCTGCGTTTGGAGAGGAGACCCAGTTAGGAGTCTCTGGTTATTTGGAGCTGAGG